CACACACACACACACAGAGAACCATGTTGAGGTAAACTGTTTGACTGCCACAAACAACTATAAACAACAACGAAACCAAGTAAAGTCAAGATCAAATAAAGAGTACCAATTTAAAAACCTTAAACTGTCTTCAACTTTTCTATTGAATTGTTTGAATACAATCAAAGTCTTCAATGACTATAACCTCATATTTGAGTCTAAAACTGCCAGTATACTCCAGGTGAAACAAATACCCGTGTTTACAAGACCAGCTTTTGCGGTATGTTAAATACATTTCATTTCCACTGTGGTCAGACATCACATCATACAAACTAGTTATTTTCTAGCGCAACCGAGCCCTTTGCTGTTTCTCCCAACATCTGACATTCGACTCCTCTGACCTTCATTATAGAAGCACATTTTTAAAACAAGACACCCATCATGATTTTATGATTTTGTCAATAGTTTCTAATGCAAAGTCAGCACTGTTACATAACTATTAAAAAGCGGGATACCATGTGGTGATCAAATTAATGCTCCCCAGACGATGCATTCCTTGGATTTTAGTGACTCAATGAGCCATTCTCTAGCACAAACCTCAGGGCAGACTGTCAACTTTTTACACATCATATCTCCACTGTTACTGAGATATAAATATAAATACATCCCAAAATCTCATGAATGGCTTACGATAGCACCCCAACCCTAAAAAATAGTTTATGATTATGTACATTAAGGTAAAACATGTTCTACAATTGATGCAAACCATCATTTCTTCTTACTTTACTTGTTTCCCTTGCTTGGCCTGGGTACCTTTTTTTAAGGACAATGTGTTTAGCATTTCGCTTACACAAACACTAAGTTGGGCTGAACAAATATCTGCATGAAGCACAGACACTAAACTGATTGTACCCTAAACCAAATACATTAAAAAAACATTGCACTTGGCTACCCACTAAGTAACTCACAGTAGGGTTTCACATTCCAGACAGAAAAGTGCTCCATATTCACTCTGCTGTAAAGCAACTTGATTAGTGCTGGCTGTTACACAAAATAAAAACGCAAATCCACAAAAAATTCATTTTCATTGTGTTTTATGCATCAGTGTTGTATTTAACCAAATATAACAAGCATAAACTTGGAAAAAGCACCTATCTAAACTACAGTACATTACACTTTTCTTCCATGGCTTTTCAGACTTTCCAGGCTTTTTGCTCCATTTCCCTTCCCTTCCTTTCTGCTCTCTGTTACATGGTTCTATTTTAATCATTTGGTGGGAAGATGCTATTGTTTGTGGTTTGGATTATACACTGAGTCATGACATTAGGAACTTTGGTGTCCTGTTACTCCGTCTTTCTGCCTCTTCCTCTCCTGTTGGCAGCTTAGTTCATCCATTACACTAATCGAAGCTCCCACTAACAAGGTGACGTACTTCCCCCCCCCCCCCCCCCCC